CGTGTTTCCTCTTTCGATTCGTTAAACCCAGCAACGCGAGGTTAAGAGCCTGAGACAAGATGTAGAAGAGAAAAACATAGCCCGCGACGTGTCAAAGGACTACGGCACAAACTCCGTAAATTTCCACGCCTGTGCACCGAGAGCTGGACGATCCTCTATTTCAATGCCCATCTCGCATGCAAATATCACTAAATTGAAACCGAGGCTATCTCAGAGCTTGGCGAGCACGACCATTCCCTTTTTCCTCGCTTGTACAATCTCCTTCGCCTGATCGCGCAACAAGCGGCGCTACGACGCGCAACCACATGAGCGCCTATTCGTGAATCACCAAGAACCAGAACGTACCAAGATTTTTCCACTCGTGTTCTTCGGTATAGCGTCGACGAATACCACGCCCCCCTCCAACCACTTATACCTCACCTTCTGGTCTCTGACCCATTTCTTGATCTCTTCACTTGCGTTCCCCTCCCCTGCCGCACCGGCACCAGAAGCAGCAGCCTTCCCCTCGGGGGAGAGGACAACGAACGCTATTGGAACTTCACCCCTCATGTCGTCGGGTATGCCGACGACGCCCGCATCGGATACGTACGGGTGCACAACCAGGTGTCCCTCAAGCTCTGCGGGGGCGACTTGGAAGCCGTTTACTTTCAAGAATTCCTACCCACAACATGTGAGCTCTAGGACTTCGTACACGCGGGAGAGCGCACCTTCAGTCGATCGAGAACATACACATCCCCCTCCTTTGTGATAAGTGCTTCGTCCCCCGTCCTCACCCACCCATCGGGTAAGAACGTCTCCTCCGTGGCGGCCTTATTGTTAGGGTAGTAGAGCGCCGTCTGGGGTCCTTTAACCCAGAGCTCACCAGGCTCGCCGGGGCCAGCAGGGCGGCCGGAGGGGAGGATAATGCGTGCTTGGGTGTGGGGAATCAGTTTGCCGGCAGAGCCGTTGACGGATTCTTTTTGGAATTCGAACTGGGGGGTGTTAGTGCCGTTTCATCCGACAGATACAAGAGGTTCCACAAGGTGGATCAGAGAAGTGATCGACGAAAGAATGAAGCGCAGCAGAGAGAGACAAAGGAGGAAAGTGCACACCTGACAAACAACAGTACAAGTCTCGGTCATCCCATATCCCTGACCCATCCTGACCCTCGGAAACTGCTTCTTGAACCTCTCCGTCACCTCTCGGGAGAGAGGAGCAGCGCCAACCATGGCAAAACGGAGATGGGACAGGTCGTAGGATTTGGTTAGGGGATTCTAGGGGGGTGGTAGTTAGTGATGCAGGGTGAGATCGGGCGAGGGGGGAAGGCGTACGTTAAGCATCATCACTACCATCGGGGGAACGATACTACAACTTGTTAGTCGCTACGCAGAGCAGTGCAAAAAGGGAGACTTACTAAAGATGACTAACCCGGTGCCTGACGATGCTTTCCAGTATGTTCTTGAACACGAATCTGGGCACTACGACTAGGGCAAGGCCGGAGAAGAGGACGACGTGCAGCTGTCATGACGTTAGCTACTTCCCCTGCTCGGATGGGTGGAGACGTACGTTGACCACCAAACCGTAGATATGATACATCGGTAGTACTGTTGTTACAATCAGCCTTCGTTCTGTACATGCAGAATGCACACACCTCCGAGTGCGACCTCCCCCGGCATAGCAAATCGGTCCTCCCTGCTCAGCCCTTCCTCGTTCGTCCTGTTATGCGCCACGACCTGTATGACGTTGGCGATCAGATTCCTATGCGCGATGGCAATCGATTTGGGTAAGCCGGTGGTCCCGCTCGAGAAGGAGAGGAAGGCTACGCTGTCGCCGACCATCGGACCACGGGGCTCGACGTAGTTTGGCGGGGAGTGCCAACCGAGGAGGGAGATCTGCTGCACGGTTAAGAACTGCCCATCTTTGGTGTCCCACGTAGGCTCAGGCTGAGAGCTGAAGAAGCACCCCTGTCCATCAAGTTGCGGTTCAGGGGGAGGAGGGCCGAATACCACCACCCTCTCCTGGGAAAAGAGCCCCGCTTCGGCAGTTGCGGCTAGAGCGGTGGGAAGGGCGGAGGGCGAGGTGAAGAGCAATTTGGAGGAGGTCTCGCGAAGTTGGTACGTCAGTTCCCCCGCTGTATAGGAGGGGTTTGCGCATGATACGACTGCGCCTAGCCTGTGCAGAGCCCATATGACGATCGGATAGTCTTCGTTTTCGTTAGTGCGGTAGGGAGCAGGAAAGGAGAGAAAGCGTACCGATATGGTTCTGACTAAACAGACAGACGACATCCCCCTCCCCTACTCCGAACTGCGCTCTGATCCCCCTGGCGACCCTCTCGACCCTCTCCCTGATCTCCTCCAAGCCATAAGCGCGAGAAGTGTCGTCATCCACCAGCCATCTACTCCCTGCGAGCCGGGTAGGACGCAGCGGGTGCGAAGGGGAGTCGAGTAGGAATTGCGGGATGGTGAGATCGTGTGGGTAGGGGTGGGGGTGGGACATGAGCGGTTGGAAGTCGGCCATGTTGGCTGCTTGTGTCCTTAGGGAGGTGGTGATGAGGAGAGAGGAGATGGTGGTGGTGAAGTAGAGGCAGATAACCGTAGATTCCCGGTGATGCTTTGGTGTACAGTAAACGTCTGATGGTCAGCGACTGGGTCGGCGAGCGCTCTGGTACGCCCAGTGAAAGGGTTACAGGGTCTTCGGGTATCACTTCCGGCAAAGTGCACATCTTCTAACGGTGGGAAGCACTTCATCCTCGAGCCAGCAGTTCTCTTCAGTGGTCGTAGCGAGCGCAAAGCAGGTTGGGCGCAAGATGTGCAGAAAAAAACTGTGCTGAAGATGAATAACCAGTGCCATCTTGAGCAGAACGAGTCCCCGAGGGCCTACATGTAC